TGATTAAAACAGAATTCATAAAAAGCAGAAGTTTGGAAAGTTACAGGCACAGACCTTATTGCTGGCACCAGGCTGTTTTATACTGACAAGCTCTCTTTGAAGGTAAGTTCTGACACTCCTCCAAAGAGATTCCCATTTGCTTTTGGTGTCCCTGTGCCGCCTTCCTGCTGCTTTACCCCGCACACCGGGTTGCTGCCTGCCAGGGCTGACGGAGACGGAGCCAGCCCACCCACTCTGCCAGCTCAGAGGTAAAGTTATGATTTATGAGCTTGAAACAGGTCAGACATCACAATTTGGGGTTTCGTAAGAAAAACACTATGACAAAAAGATGATTTGCTTCCAGATGCTCCGCTCCATGAGACCATTCACATCAGCTGTTACCAAGCACTTGAGAACAGTTTTATTAAAAACACAAGAGATGAAGATAACAAATACCTATCATCCAATAATGATTTACTTACATGGAACAACTTCTCAGTCTTCGGAAATACTGCTATGATGTCATATAACCTTATATTTGCTGATGTTGATCTCTACAAAAGGAGGAAACAATTACTACCTTGAATTCTGGCAGACGCCAGAGCTATGCACAATGATTATGACCAAAATAATGAGGAGAAAATCCCTCTTCCACTTTCAGGTACTAAAACAAAGCCAATAACCATCCCGTTACACAGTGGGTCTCCGCTGTGAGCCATACTGTGAAGTCACTCACTCTCATTTGGGGCTTGTCCCACCCACCACATAAGGCACTTATACCTTTTGCTTCAATCACATTGCATTAAACATAAACAGACACAGGGCTTGCTCATGGCCTTTGAGTTTACACACGGAAGTCCAGAAATCAAAGAAAAGAACTGAGGAACAGAATTGTTGTCCCATATTGACAAACGATCAAGGGAAGCCATACCCAGCCTTGTAAGTCTGCTTACATTCACGGTCACATTTGCTAAAGACACGATCAGAGAAATCACTGCTACGTGTCCCATAAAATCCACAAAGTTATCCCCCATACAATTTCCAAAGTTTTTTGTTCATTGAGAAAACAAAATAAAATTGGAAAATTAATATACTGAATATACTTACCAAGAGATTACAGTGGGAAGGATCAGAAACAACAAGTGTTAGCCGGGTTAAGACTTTAATCCTTTTAGTTGTTCCCTACAAAAAAGAAATAACACAAAAAAGCTTCAAAGCAAAAATCTGCAGTGACTTTCATGCTGTTCACTAGAAAAAGAAAACAGTGCCTTGTTCATATTCTTGCCTACACTAATTGTCTAAAGTCTGTAGTTACACTTTCCTATTTTATATTGATCTGATTGATATTATACCTGCCCTTTAGAAAGAATGACTTTGTTTTTGTGAGGAAGGGTCAACAGAAACAAGAAAGAAAGAAATAAAGAGGGGAAAAAAAAGTAAAATCATGCAGAAAAACTGAGTTTGTCTTAATACTGCTATGGCTCCCCAGGCAGGCCAGAACTGCAAGCAAATGCAGTTCCTGAATTAACGTATGTCAGTGATTTGACACACAGACATGGTGCATTACATCTGAATCTTGCTCCAACAAAACCAGGAAGTTATTTCCAAAACTCAAACTGCAAGAATTATACTGTAATTATTCAACTACAAGAAGATTCAAAATTCATATTAAGCAGTTTCTTTGATAATTTCTAAAATAATGAATAGAGCCTACTCAAACATGACTGTATCATTCTTCCAATGCTGGGATTTTTAACAATCAAGCAATGGACAATTTCCTCTTTTTCAATTAACACGTTATACACAAAATCACACATAAAAACATACCAAGGTAAAAAAAAAAATGTAACTCAGAGTAACAATACAGAGATGGAGTGCAACTAGACATACTTGTACAATAGGCAAAGATGGAAACAACTCTGAAGGAGATACTGGCTTGACGATTTCCTTAAAAGAGAACAAAACAAAGTTATTCAAAATGTCATATGTTAAGTTTACAATGTAAACAAAAGTTGTATTCCAGCCCTAAAACGAAATTTGCCATGCTAACTAAACTATTTCCCAGGGACAATGCACAGACCATATTAAAAGTTAACTCTCAGGCATATTATATATATTATATTATTATATATTTTATATATATTGTATAATTATATATTATAAAATGGGAGTTCTGCTGCAAATG